TAGTCACCTCATAATGTTCAAGGATCAGAAGAAGAAAGGTGCTGGTTTTCACCAAACAACTCAGAGAAATGTCACTCACATGTTGAAGAGTTTGATTCACTTTGTCAAAAAGAAATAGTTTTTTTCATTATAGAATGCAAAAAACTATCTTTAGAATAGTCAGAATCATAATTAAGAGCTGAAGAACATAAACCAGTGATGAGTTTAATTTTTCTTGTCATTTTCAAGTTAATAATGCATATTGTAGATCATTAGTACCATAAGAAACTGAGCAAGAAACTAGTATTAGAGTTGACTTCGGTTGTTAATGCAATTATTTTTCCAAACGCATGGAATGACAACCTTGAAGTTTGATAAACTCTGGCAAGAAAGTATCGTCTTATAGTAATGACTTTTAGTGCATACTATCTAGGATAAAAACAATAGAGAGAGAGAGAGAGAAAGAGAGTTTGTTATAAAAATTTTCCTTTTATTGAATGTTATTTGACATTCGCAAATAAATTTCTTTTGTACGCCATTTATCTTTAAGTAAATTTTTCATATAATGACTTACGTTAGTCTGTTTTCAAAAATGCTATGAGCAACGATTACCAATTTTAATCATTCATTTCATATTGTAGAATCTAGCAGTATAACACAAAGCTACGTCTCCACCACGCCATTAAACAATAATCAAGTGACGACAGGCATCAATTTAGATGCGGCATCTCGACAAGTAATCGTATTTCTATTATTTATTACGCATGTTTTAACTAATTAAATTGAACGAAATTCTAGTTAGAAAATGCCTATAAGTTGCCACGAGGCACGTTAAGAATCACTAGTATTGTTGTCAATAATGTTGGAACAAATGCTGCTGGTGGTCGTCGCCGTCGTCATGGACTTTACAGAAAAAAACGTGCCCTGTGCGTCTACGCTTTGCATGATTTTTTTTATAATCCATTTTTCTCAACACTTGTGTAACTCTGTTTCAGACCAAGTTGTAATCAATTCGGATCTGCTCGCTCATTTGTGCAAATGACAATGGTTGTAGTCTACCCGAAGAAACTTGGCAAATCTAACGCTTTAAAGCAAGCATTTTTCAATTATGCTGTAACTATTTTTAATACATTTACATCGGGTATTCTGGCGACATTGCAATTGGCTAGCGGAGGCACCGTTCAACTCGTGTTGTACGGTTGCCTGAAAGACAGTGATTTATCATTGTTCGGAACTTCTACTACTACTACTAGTACTACAACAGGTAAAAAGTTTTCTGTTTCATAGATTTCAGTATGTGTTGATACGTATATTTTCGCTTTTCAGCTTTGAGAAATTAGCTTATGAGCAAAATGTGAGCATAGAAGAAACGTCTTGATAGTAAATCATATATCATTCAAATGTTACTTATGATATATTATGAGCTATTTTCCTACACGTTTCTTTTTGCATTGAAGTCAAATAGAAATAAAAATGTTCAGTGTGTGAAACTCGTTATTTCTAAATTGAGCAACCTTTTTGTTGACAATTTTTCATTGATTGTATCACAGAGAAAATTTTGAGTAAAATTAATCCAGAAAATTACATCAATAAAGTGCTGCCAGAGTCACTAGTCTGTTAACTAGAGTTGGAACTAATATCGTTATAAAAAATCAGATCGAATAGGATAGACCTGTATACTGGCATGAGTCGTTCTCTCTGTTTTTGATCTTATAACAATCAAGTCAACAATCTAGATTGATCATATTACTATCCTAATCTTTTGATTAAGATCTCAAGAATCTAAAAATTACTTAATTGCCATGTAAAACAACTTCTAAGTAAGCGATATCTCTCGAGATGGTATCGATGTTTTAGAACTATCTCTATAGACTTTCGTCAATAAGTTTTACGAATAGTGATTTTTATGTTTGAAATTTTTGTTTTATGGGAGATGATGAAAATAAACATATTCACGAATGATCATAGCAGAAATCGGTTTGACAAAAGGTGATTGTTTCCAAAAATGTGAGATTGCTTCACCCACCTGCTATTGAATTTAATCTTCTCAAAGTTTACATCGGTTTACGTATATTATGATATGATTATCTCGAGATGGATTGAAGGCACGTCTTATTTCTATTCCAACTCAAATAAAAGCGTTCAGGCCGCGAAACGCAAGTTATAGCCTAGGAAAGAACTCATATTGCTTAAAAGAGCTTTGCAGCTGAAAGAATATCAATCGAGACTTCAACACATACAAAACGTATTTTGCAATACCAATGATCAAACGAAATTGAATCCACCTGTATACCAGTATGAGTCATTCTTCTTGCATTTGAGCTCATAATAAGCAAGTCAATCTCTTGGCAGATCATATATGCATCGTAATTACCGTAGTTTTGATACAATCATCGTTCCACGTTTTCATTGATTTTCACTTAGATATTATGGATCGAAAAATCAGATGATTGCCACGAGAAGGATCTTTTTAGTAGCTGGTCATGAATTGATACGCATCTGTATGCATGAAAAAGTACCGAATCGAAGTGCTAGACGGTGTGATACAAACTATGTCAGAGAGATCCATATCCTGAGATGGCATAAATATATCAGGATTATTCGTATAAGTTTTCGGTAATCTTTGAAAGTGTCATAAAACACTGATTTTAATGTTCGGCACTTTTATTTTCCTGAAGAGGATGAAAATTGATCAGTTAGTAAATATTCATAGCAGAGATTTGTGTTATAAAAGAAATGATTGTTTTCGAGCATTCGGAAACGCTTCACTAGTCTGTCTTTAAGTTTAATCCTTTCGAGTTTTATTTCGATTTTGATAAATTATTTTGTAATGATCTCGCGATTAATTGGAGGTACACCTTATTCTTATTCCAACATGAATAACAGCGTTCCACAAATACACGGAATCTAATACTCTGAATAAAGTTCATATGAGATCATTGAAATTGCCTAAAAATGTCTGGAGTGTGTTAGTTATGAAAAAAATTATCACAAAAAGGATCTCATGCCTTTGAAGTAATAACCGAAGAATTTCTTAAATGATGTTCACACTCAAACGTTTCGAATCAACCGTGCCTACTATAGACACCTATTTCGAAAAAGTAACGTTATATTATAGTTTTGGAACTGAATTTGGTTTCTACAACAACATAAGATCAACAGTTCATAGAAAAGAAAATAATTGAAACTTAAAAATATAATTATTCCACAATAAAAACTATGGAAAAATCTAAATGGGACAACATTTAGGTGTTCGTATTCAAGTTCTCTTCCAACAAACATTCACCGGAGTTACACTTTGAATAATGGATATTGAATCATATTTGTGGAACACGAAAAGAAACAATTCAAAATATCCATTTTTTCATTCCTTGCTCGAACTGTATTAGGCTTCGTTTTTCAATATGAGAACTAAGCAGATCACCTCCCGAAAAGTGTTCCTGATTAAGATTAAGATGAAGATCTACAGTACATAAATTATATTATTGATCTTGCTACGTTCTACAAAAAGTTTTATAAAACAAAAATCTCACGTGATCAACCTATTTCAGTGATCTAGTTTAAAATAGGACAGCATCTCATTTATAAAACTTTCTTTTTGGTAAAGAAGCAAGATTTATAAATAATCCACAGTGGATAAAACTTTCGGAATCGAACTGCTAGAAATGTTAAATAACTTTTGTTCTGCTGCAGTGCTCTTGCGTTAATCTTCCAAATTGAGAAGTAAAACTTTCAACTACATTCACTTAGCTTCAAACAGACTATACGCAGCATTTCCAAATTCTTTTTAGATGCAGTTCGATTTATACTAGATATGTTAGCGGACTCTACGATTTTCTAGACCAACTATAAAATTGTATTGATAGCACTAGCGCACTATATATCTTCCCAAGCTAAAATACAGATATTGCATATATAAAACAAGAGTGAACTCTACGCATTCTCCTAAACTATTTACGATTCGAACTTGAGCATGAAACTTGTTAAATATGAAAACTTACCAATTAAAACTTGAAAATTAAATAATTAAAGTATTGTAGTTTTGGAAAAATAAATAGTTTATGCTTTTGACTTCAAATCTTGACATTTTAAAGTTTTAATAATACTATAAAATTTTATTTGACTTATGCTCGCAAATGTGAAGTAACATTTTAGTATTTGACACTTTTGTTTTTGTCGAGTGATTAGAGCGAAAATCAGTGTTATAAAACAATGATTGCTTCATAGATTTGAGAACGCTTAGCCTATCTGTCTTGTAATTTAATCCTGTTGAAGTTTTCATTGATTTGCGCATATTATTCTACGATGGTTTCGAGATCGATTATGAAAACATCTTATTCGTATCTAAACGTGAATGATACACTGTAAAAAGAAAAAGGTAATTTACCGAACCCTCCAAAAAGGTTTCGTAGGTGTCTAGAAGCTTCCAAATGCGTCCAAATGCTTAAAAAAATGGTTGTTAAAATCTACGAAACCTTAAAAGGATCTGTCCACGGGTACACCGTCCGAACCATCTCCTACGAAACCTATTTAAGTTCCGTAAAGCGAAAAAAGGTTTCGTATTTTCTTACGAAACTATGAAGGTTTCTCATTTTCTTACGAAACCTTTTTTCGCTGTACAGAATTTAAATAGGTTTCGTAGGAGATGGTTCGGGCGGTGTACCCGTGGATAGATCCTTTTAAGGTTTCGTAGATTTTAACAACCATTTTTTTAAGCATTTGGACGCATTTGGAAGCTTTTAGACACCTATGAAACCTTTTTGGAGGGCTCGATAAATTACCTTTTTTTACAGTGTAGTTTTCATGCCATGAAATATGAGCTTCAGCACTCCAATTACATAAGATTGAAACTGATTAGCAATATGTTTTATTCCTATTTCAACACAAGTCAAAGTTTCCATAGTACGACTAAATGGGAGCCGTAGCATAAGAAGGAACTCATATTTTTTGAAAGATATTTTCAGCTTAAAAAATATCAATCGAAAACTCATCAGAAGTACATATAGAATTTCACATAATGAATGAAGCTCATATACTCTGTAACTCTGCTATTATGCTTTCGTATTGAAATTTTGTATCTTCTTTTAGCTTCTGTGTGTTCGCTCGCATGGAATCCAAATGGTCAGACTGTAGCAGGTAGTTTGACAGGTGTTGCTGGTGCTGCACCTAATGGTATGAACGCTCCTAATGATGTATTTTTGGAGTCACCCACTACACTTCTTGTCGCTGCTGGGGGGAATCAGGTAATCCAGAGATGGACAACCGGTAATCTCAACAGTGGAGCTAACATTGCTGGTCAAAATGGAGGAGCTGGAGGAGCTAATAACCAGTTTAGAACTCCTGCTAGTGTTGTTGTTGACGCAAATGGTAATCTCTTGGTGGCAGATAGTGCTAATAATCGAATTCAATCCTGGGCACCCGGTGCAGTTGTAGGCACAACCATTGCTGGTGTAGGTAATATAGTTTGAGGTTTAAACGAAGACCACTGCTCATTCGATCTAGAGAAATCTTAATATTCTTAGTGACTAACTATGCATATACCACGAAATCGTCAATTTATCATGAAAAAAAAAGAAAAAATACAGAAACTGAAGACTAGTTTCAATTAGTAGCCGATTTCTTTAAAACATGTTAAACTTATACAATGCGCAATGAAGCTAGTTTTTAAGAACTTTGAATTCTTTCGATATTTCTTAAAATAAGCAGTGATATTCTATATTGTTTCAAGCATATGATGATCTTCTATTCTTTGATCCAAAAACAATCTTCTCGTTTTGTTTTTCTGCTATAGAAGACACAGTGTAGTTTTCTACAAAAGTTTCTTACAATCAAACTGTTTAAAATAGATAGTCGGAAAAGATTGTAAATCTGATGTATTGTTCATTAGATAATGCCAATGATAGAAGAAAGAACTTTAAAATACTGATGCCTTTAGACAGAAGCAGCTGAACCGCCAGTAGTTTACTAAGTTTTTGATGTTTTGAACGGTACATAGAAGAATATAAAATGAAGTACTTTCGATCTTCAGTTATGCTACTAAATCTAGACTAAATACTTGTTTGTGTATGGTAAGAATTGTATTCACAACTAAGATTTTCTATTCGAGAGAATCAAATTTCGTTGTTTAGCTTAAAAGTATTCCCGGTACTGAAGCATAAGCTTCTAAAGGTTCTTGTGGTCAAAACGTTGCAAGAATGTCTTTCTTAGTGCATTCTAAATGATGACACAAACGGTTGTTTAAATTCTTTAATATTTCATGAGATTTGAAATTTTCTATCATCCACATTGCAACTCTGGTCTTTCGTATAAGATACAACAGTTTTGACTGTTTTTACACATCAACATATAGCTGATCGATATGTTTTTAAGCATGTCAATATCAAATTAATTTCATTGAGTTCTAATATACTAACAATCATTTTAATAATGATGTTGTTTTCTCCGAAAATTCTACATAAACTCACAACTGTTATATTTCAAAACCTTTCATACTACATGTACATTGTGAGTTCTTTGCTACTCGGATTTTCTTATACATTGTTATTGTGTATCATATAAAATGTTGTGATTCTCAAACCATTTTCAAAGTTGTTTCCGTCACTGTTTCAGAATGTAATCATACTCGGCATACAAGATATATTATAGAATTAATATTTGAATTTTCAACGATAATCATTCAGTCTCGATATTTGCCAATCGGATAGTTAATTTTTCAGATCAAACATTTTGTTTCATTTTAAACAGTTGTTTGTTTTGATAGAGAATTATTCAATAATGAAAAGACTTTCAAATCTATAATTACATAATATGAAACCTTGTATAGTTCTTCGATTATTAATTTTTGGAAGTGAGTTAAAATAAATTATCATTTAAAAATTTTCTATCAAAGATAGCAAAATGCCGATGAAGCAATTATTTTTTCATCTAATCCTATACGAATAATTCTTCTCAAATCATTCAGATTTATATCTAAATCCCACCACCCAAAGTTTTCAAAAGCTGTCTTTGAGAGTTAACGTCATTGATGAAATTATCTGTATATAAAACACATGTTGATAGTTCTCAAACAGAGAGTCACATTGATTTTAAAACTGATGATCTTTGCATGCACAAAAGAACTTACTGTTGTATGATAGATTGAGAAAGCTCATTCTTAGAATAATTTTTCTTTGGATTAAATGACAATTATTAACCATTATAATTTTGAAAGTCAATTATGCCTTTGATTACCACTTTCGTTGGAAAAATTTTCAATGATTTGAAAAAATGTTTCTTAACATTGCTCTCATATTCTGCAAAATAACTTTTCAGTTCAAGTAGTTTCTATATTTATTCATAATAGCTCATTTTTTGATCGAGTTCAGCTTAGAATTTCTTTTATTACTTGAATAATCATAGATATGCCGCTACTTTCTCATTAAATGAAATCATGTTTGATGAAAGAAATCAGTAGCAAAAGCGTTATCAAACATAACTATTTTTGTTGAAATATTTACATATTTTCAGGAGCAGTTGCCCCAAACAATTTAGTTGCAGGTGTTGCACTTAACAATCCAGTTAGTATTGTACTTGGTCCTAATGGAAACTCATTTTTCGTCAGTGACAGTGGCAATAATCGAGTGGTTCAATTCTTTCGAGATGGTGTGACTCTTCCTCGGCTTGCTGCTGGCGGTAATGGAGCAGGAGCTTTTCCGAATCAGTTGAGTGCACCACAGGGTATATTTTTTGATTCAGCATCAAATTCTTTAATAATCGCTAATTCGGGTGCTAACGATGTCAGACGTTGGGTTCTTGGACAGAATATAGGGACAATTATTGGAAACGGTGTTCAAGTTGGTAATGCAGTACAACCACTAGCCGGGCCTATCGGTGTAACACTTGATTCCGCTGGAAATTTGTATGTGAGCGATAGTGGAAATAACCGTATAGTGTTGATTAGGCCTGGTCAAATAACTGGTACTATCATTATACCAGGAGGTGCCGTAGCTGGTGCTGCTGCTGCTACTCCCACTTCATTAAATAATCCCACTGCCATCAAACTCGACTCTCAAGGTAATTTGTACGTGGCCGACACAAACCGTAATCGCGTACAACTATTTACGTGCATCCGGGTTCCAGCGTGATCGAATTCAATAAAACTTTGAACATGTTTTTTTTTACTAATCAACTCGTAGTTTAAAGGTAACTTGCTTCTAATTTTCATATCTATTCACACACAAACTGTAGCTGATTTTTATCGTAGTTTTTTTCTCAACACCATTTATATATTTATGATTTTTCTCTTCTTAATAAAACATATATTATGGGTATGGGTAAATAATTCATCGAGACATATCAACTAAGTTGTTGAAGAAAAAATAATTGTTAGTTTCAACTTTTCGTTTTCAACAATCGATTAAGTCGAAAGTCTAATGATAATAATATGATAAAGTCATTTATTTAGATTAACATTGTTCAAGTTATTTAACTCAATACTTATGGATATTTCTTAATTAATATATACAAATTTGAACAATTCTGATTTTCTTTCCATTGTTTTTCAATATGTTAGTCGTTTTGAAACAACATCTAATTTCAATTGATAAAAAGATATATCAAATATAGGTTGGATTATATTCATGAAAGCAAGACACAGTTTGAATTGAATTGCATTTTAATCAGTTATTTTCATTATATCAAGAATAGATACTGATATCCAATCAAAAAAACATAATGACTTATTTATCAAAGGTAGAAATCAATCTGCTGATCTTAACTCTTGCTTTTTTATAATTCTTCAAGAAATATAAATACGTGTGAGAGTTGTGTTTTAAAATTTAAAGAACAAAATTCACAACAAAGAATAAAATGGACGAAAGTGTCGAAAAGAAGGAACGTAAGCAGTTATTTTTCATTGAAGATCGATTTTCAGAGTTGAGTGGCCATGAGCATTTTTGGAATAACTTTAAAAGAAAAGAAAAGAGAAGTAGAATTTGGGATTTCAACACTATCTACATTTGACATTGTTCTACCTTTTGTTTTACAATGCTGACGAAAGATTCTAGTCATTTTTCCTCTAGCATATACCGTTAGTTTTCAAGATGACTCTAATTGTCTTGGAAAGCAATATGCTTTTTCAACTGTAGTATGAATAACAAATAACCTAACTTCTTCTCTATATCATTCATTTAGGACTGAGCTTGCTAACTATTTGTATTTCAAATATATGAAGATTATAGTGAAGATTACTCACCAAAATTTCTTGCAAATCTGAGTGGTTAATAAATGTCTCTTTCTATAGTTTTAGTCTACTTCGATTTTTTAACATAATTTATTAACTATTAACGTTTTCTATTAAAATATCATTAAAAAGAACACACGCTAATTTTATATTCATGATAACGAATTGATATTTTTTTCATCAAAATGATTATTTGAATCAAAATCGATCTATCGATACGAATTTTAAAATGTTTATATGCATTCAAAAACAAAAATCTTTGGATCGTTATGATACATTACGTGGAATAAATATTTCCAAAGTTCTCTTATTAGAATTGTTTTATTGAAATTTATCAAATTTAAAACGCAAAGTATATAAAAACAAAAAGCATAAAACATTTATCTGAATATCTTACATTAAATTCAATCTATTCATCTCTATTCGATACAGACAATTTTTTCAAGTTTTCAAGTTAAGTATTGTACTTTGAATCTTATGGAGATCGTCTAGGTTTGAATGTCAATACTCTATCCTCTTGAATCATATCAGAGTTTTAGATAACGACAGAAATAAATCCGGATAACATGATGAGAAGTAATGAAATAGAAAGACATATGTATATCGCTTGTTGTAAGAGCTTCTATTATAGTTGAGGATTTATATATTATCCGATTCTACAAAAAATAAAATAATTTGATTATAATTTCGAAAATATATTGTCTGAATTATTTGATGTAATATATCCATGACCAATATATTCACAACGTAACATTGCTTTTAATGAGTTTTCAAAGTTTTCATTTGTTGAATGTTCGAATTCAGAAGTCTTCATCGTTTGCAACAATGCTAAATTTCCTTTTTTCCGAGTAAGAACTGCTTTTCGCAAGATAATTAACGATGGAATATGAATTAGTAATATAGCTAAACGCC